CAAATAATAGAAAGTGAGATTTTTCCAAGCTGTCCCCTCTCACTATCCATATTTGGATTTTTTTTTTTTTTTAATACTAAGTCCTACCTATTTCACCACCTGAAATTTCCCTAATTCAGTACCTCCTCTTCATTTTTACCATGTCTGTATAGGTTAGGCCTTCATTATCTTTTACCTCAGTTAGGGCAGAGCCTCCTAAATAGTCTTTTTGCCCTTAAGTCTCTCCTTCACTCTTGGAAGCCAGAGTGATTTATCTAAAATAAAAATTTAAACTCATTATTCATCTGTTTAAAAACCTTCTTAGGCTTCTGCTCTTTCCAGGTTAAGTTTTACCCTTCTGAATATGATCTCTATATAAGATTTTCCTCTCTGAAGCATCACTTACTCCTACATTGAAAGGTTTGTTTATTTGCACATTTGGTTATTGCTCTATAGTCTCCTTATCAAATATCATGGATATCTTCCCATGTCAAAAAATATATAACTGTCTTTGATTTTAATGGCCGCATTATAGTCTATTGCATGGAATACATAAATTTCATAATTTAGTAGCTTTCCTATATAATAGAAGATTTATTTATATAATAGACAATATTCCTATAAAATAGGAAATAATCATTTAGATAATTTCTAATTTTTGAGCAATACTTTGATGACTAGCATTATACTTACTTTTTTTTCCCAGTTGTCTGATTATTTCCTTAGGATAAATTCCAAGAAGATAACTGGCTCAAAGCCTGTGTATTAATGTTGGTTTCTTTACAACATCACCAGCACTAGGCTTTATTAATCTTTTTAATTTATGGTAATGTGATATAGGAAAATCTGATGATGATTTATTTCCAGGCAATGTCTATTTATTTTCTTTGTACTTTTTTATTAGGGACAGAGCTATAATTAAAAATAATGAGTAAATTTATTTTATATTCTGTAGGAATAACAACTTGTTTATTGTTGAAGCATAATTAAGTTTCTCAATATGTTGTATCTCTGTTTCAAAAGTTGTGGAAGCATTTTTCTTGAATGACATAACTGAGCAGTATTTAGAAGTTGAACTTTGCCCGTAAGTATAAAATATTTTTTCTAACTCATTACTACATAATTTGAACATCTTGTTCTCTACTTATCAATCATGTGGTCATAGTAAAAACACTGATTCTGACTAAGGGATATGCTAATCTGAATTTATCCAAATTAAATGTAATTATTTATTTTCAAGTAAATATGTTATATAAAATACATGTTAGAATATATATTGTAAATGTTTGAAACTATTATATTGACATTAATTTGTTTCACTGTGTAGTTGATTTTTCTATAAATTTGAAAATTTTTTTGCAAAATGAAAAATCATTTCAAAACACTCATTATTTACTCTATAATTTGTGTATTAGCTATTCAGAAACAAAAGGAGACATATAGATATAATAAATTGAACTAGTTTATGAAAATGTTTCAGGGAATTTTTTAATGGCTACAATAAACTTTAATTTTATGTATTCCATAAGAATGTATTCATGTATTTCTGTATTTATTCACCATTTATTGAGCGTATACTATGTCACTTTGCGTTCAGTGCCAGGGATAAAGGCTAAATCACACATGGCTTTTCCTAGACTCATTTAAAATATTAACCTGGGACTCTCTTTGTTCAAATTTATCCGTTCTCTTGGGAAACCTCTTTATCTGCTTGACATTTTTTGTCCTATAGATATAAAAAAGTAAATTTATGCCCACCTCTCATCTATATTCTAGCAAATTTTAAATTAGTAAAATATCCATAATGAAATATTTTTTGTATTGTGATCATTCATTTTAAATGCCTATCAGTATCTAATATCCAGTAGCCTTTTTTTCCCTTTGTAGACTGGGCAGAAAGTTCCAACAATTGATTTAAATGAGATTTTCACTGTCATTTTCTTTTCCCTTATTTTGATGGTTTGGTAATTGTAATATGGAAACTCTAGCTCTTCACAATTATATTTTTTAGAAGAATAACATTTTTTGTGTGTGTTACCTTTCAATTAACATGCCAACATCTTTTATTGAAAAATATGATTAATGCTCCTAAATTGTTACATAGGTAAAAAAAAAAAAATTTACCTAGTGTGATTATTTTTACCTACAGGTGAGAAAACAGGCAAAGGTAGATTTATACCTTGTCTATAAGACAGTAAAGAACTTAGATCTGCTAGAATTTTAAAGTTTCATCCTTAGGTTTACTTTTATTTGATGAAAATATCAGTTTATTTCCATAAAGTGATGATTTGACAATGGATGAATAGGATAATTAGATAACCATTATGTACAAAATTAATAAATTCTAAAAGTTAAAAAAACCCCTTCGAGTAGTTCAGTTTCACATACATCAGGACTGTCAATAATCAAGAATCATGGTTTTGCTTCAGGCAATCAACTCTAACAGTTAGTCTCTAGGAAAGCAGCGAAGAATATTGTTGTTTTAATTTGCAACAACTTTTACTTCTCCCTGGATATTCTTAAGCTTGCATGATAACAATAAAAATAAGTAGAGGAAAAGAATACTGTCTTCTGTTAGAGAGTTTATTGAAGGAAATCTTCCATGAAAAGCTCACCAGGGACTATCTATATGGAAATGTTTAGGTATAGTCTTTTTCATAGACGATCAGTTTGTTTCATGTAAAAACTTGAAATCCATTGATTCTTATTGATCTGGCTAGTCCCAATTATGCTCTCTTATTAGAGTTTCCTGTTGAGGATATATTGTATTTCTCTTTGTAAAGGTGACACCGGTATCTGAACTAGTGGTAGAAAGCAGGAAAACACAAGAAACGGACAGGTTGAGGACAGTCGTGTGAGAGAATAGACACAAATTAAAATCTTTGGCATGTTGACTAGTTTAAGATAATCTATGTTTTGTATTTTCCGTCTTCCTAATGAGATTCAAGATAATTTTCTTATAGAAATAATTTTTAGTAAAGTTGTTGGATTCAGACCTAGAAATTGATGCCAGCTTCCTTTAGGGTACTTTAATTTTCAAAATAGGTTTTATTATAAATTCCAAATGCCATAATATTCTCCTGCCCGTTTGTATACTTTGCATCATCTAACCAATTAAAGTAGTTTATGTAATTTCTTATTTAAAGAATATAAAAAGCAATCTGAACATGTGTACCTTTATGCATTTGACTATAATTGGAAAATGGTAAACTCAAAGATATCATTTTTAAGTAACCGAACCTACTGGCTTTGCCTATAATTATCCAATATTAATAGTTCATCTTTTAATTATTTGGAAATTTAGTTATAAATACATGTATTACAGATATGAAAGATAGTGAAGAAAATGTTTGTTTCTTTCAAATACTCATGAGGAATTTTAATTTTGACAGCCATGGACAGCATTTGGTACTTTTGCTCTCTGGAAGAAGAAATGTGTGGAAAGTAAGTAAATAAAAATATAAGGCAAAGTCCTTCAGTGTACAGGGTATAGCTAATACTTTATTATATGCTTAATATATATGTTTCGAGTACGAATCTGAATTTACCTTTTGTATTTCACATATTGTTTCTGTAGCAAGAACTTGCTTTATCATTCAAAGTGTCCAGAAGAGAGACAAATTGGGAAGGCAGAGCTTATCTTCCTTGGAGTTATTTTCCACCAAATGTGACAAAATTCAATTCATTTGCAATTCATGGATCAAAAGATGAAAGAAGCTATGAAGCTCTTTACCCTGTACCTCAGCATGAATTGCAACAAGGACAAAAACCTGATTTGTAAGTAAAAAAATAAATGAAGATACGTTCTGATGGTGAGAGTTTTTTGGAAATTAATTCCTAGTGGAACAGTGATAACTCCTCTTGGTCAAAGAAGACATGCATGTACAAACACCTGGTAGGGTGCTGTGTTCACTGACGAGCTTCAGTAAATACTTGACGCACTGACTCTGGACAGACTTAGCTTCTCTCATTGCTGTCCGTACAGCACTTATGTTTCCATAGCAGTATGTGAGTAATCTCCCTTAGTGAATATTGCGACAGCTGATATAAAAGTATGGTTGCAAATTCACTTATGAAATTCACTTTCACAGCGAAATGGCCAGAGGCATCCGGTTTCCTGGAATGAACCAAGGGTCAATAAAACCTTTCCTTTGGTGCTAGAGAGTGTGACCTTCAGTTAACTCTCTCTAGCTCTCTTCCCCATAAAAACGTCAGCAGGGTTTCTGGCAACATTGCTTATGATAAAAATTACTCCTAGTTGGTAAATTGCATCTGGACTGATAGTATTGCGAGTCAACTATAAATACCTGATGAGGAAAATGTGGCTTTGGATTTCCCTTTAGCAGCCATGTTCCTGTTGGGGGCCCTGCGGAACAGCAGGCACGTAAGCCAAGGTATCCCCTACACAAGGTGTCTCCTACACTTGTCATATCTTTCTGAAGCTGTCACCTAAGGAGAATAGACTCCTTCCTGGCCAGCCTTGCGCATGCTGCATAGACTGCAGCAGACACTGCTCCCTGAGGGAGGAAAGCCAGCTGCTGTCCTGGGCAAGCTGTGACTCTTGCTCTACATCCCCAGTGCACTTGGCGTGGCCCACATGGTCTCCAGAGTGTGTGTGTTCAGACGCGCCTCACAGACAGGCCGGCTTCACCACCGCAGACTGACTTCTCCTGCCTTTCTACTCGGAGAAGGTGCTGTCCTTCCTCCCTGTTTGCCTTCTCCTTCCTGCCACGCTCGCTCTTCACTCTACTGTGCTTCCATTTCTCCCAGCCTATTCCTTCATTGTGCCCGACACTCTTTTCCCCTTTCCCTCTGCTTTTCTCCCCAGTCCTAACCCTTTCTAATGAGCCTCTTTTCCTTTCCTTTCTCTTGTCCTTCCTTCACTGTCGGTTCCTTAACCTCTTCATCCGAGATTGACACTTGTGACTCAAACCGGTTCAGTCTGGCCAGGTGGCAGAATGGGACAGGAATCTAGGTGAAAGTGACTCAGAGCTCTCATACCAAGATGGCTGGTTTTTTTTGGCTCTTCACCAGCTAATTAATACTTCTTTGTATTCAGGATCTTCATATATATGTTACTGGAAGCTACCCTAGGATAAAATTATGGTGATACGACTGGCCAGGGCAGAGCTGAGACTGAGTGATCCCCTGCAGAGCTGAAGTCCACTTCCACATGTTAGAGAACCCTTTCTCTCCTATTAAGCCACAATGGAAATCCCCATAATAGTTAAATAATGTTTCTGGAAAGGAAGAAACTAGGGTTAACACCCTTTTACATTAACCTCCTTTGCTTTAGCCAAGGGTTATATCATCTAATCCATGGGGATGAAAAATTTTAAAACGATTGTTTCTGTGACTGATATAAACTATATCAAAATTTAAATAGAAAAACATCCATAGGAGTATAATATGATTTAAGGCTAGATGGAATGAGTCAGATTTTGAGGGTTGATTTTTATTTCTCCCCTCAGCTCCGAGGGAGCTATTTGTAGAAGTGGAAGGAGAGTGCTTTGGGATGTGGGCGAATGTTTTCGGAGCTGAATGATAGCTAGAGTGAGAAAATTGTACATATAGAGTATATCTCACCTTTGGTATTCCTAAAATAGAATGTCGTTCTATCACAGATGTGACAAAATGAATAGCCCTTCAGGATGACAACTGTTTCACAAATGCATAATTCATTTTAATTCCCACCTTCTTTTTCTTTGCATTTAGCCATCGTCTGGAATACTTCAAGCCTTTCAGTTTTAACACACTGCTTGGAGAAGAATGGGAACAACCAGAATCAGCCCTGTGGCTAACAGAGAAACCTGATGTATAGGAGTGTAGTAGCTGACCATATCAATCATTTCTTCTCTATACCTTTTAAGGTAAATCATAGGTATAATCTCTTTTAAGACACCACAAACACATTTCAACAATAAATATTTTCATAAAGGTCAGTGAAAGAATAATATCTCTCTGGCAAGTTTTATATAGGTTGTCAAGAAAATAGAAAGTTTGTAGATTATTTTATCTATAGAGTTAAAATGTTTCTGAGTCATTTGGCCCAGGAACCATCATGTCAGTGAGTTCTGCCATTTGCCTTGCGTCACCACGACCCCAGATATCCCTGACTCTGTCAATCAGAATCATCATTTCTCTTCCCACTTCTGTGTCCTCAGCCAGCCTGCCACTGGAACATCGTATTTGTACATTTTTGAACTTCATGCGATATACATTAATTCTTTATTCAGAATCTTCTGTTCGTTCTTGAAATGAGTAGAAAACAGTGACCTATTTCAGTTGATTAGGACATCCACATCTGTTAGGGCATCCTTAAGATACATGTGTTGTTTAACTAGCTGTTTTTCCTGTCTTATGACTATTTTTACCCTATATAAGGAAATGGAATGAAGTATCCTGAATTTATTTACAAAGAAATGATATTTTCTTAATATAGTTAAACAAAGTGTCAAAATGTCTTCATTTTATTTCATAAACGTTAAACACTCCTGGCCGAGAATTTTTGAATTTTCTGTTATAACATATTTCAGAACTTGAAGCCATCTAGTAGATCATCTTGGAACGGCCCCAAACCTGGTCCTTCTCTAGCATTCTTAACTCAGATCAGCAGTCTTTCAGAAGAACCTTTATTACTTGTACATGCCTAGCTGCCTACCCAACAATATATCTTCTCCTCCTTTACTAACAGAACTGTAATTTGAGGACCGGGGGGCTCTGCTCAAAAACTACATTTTCCCAGATTCCTTTGCAGGTAGAAATGACCCTATAAAACAGTTCATGCCAATGAGATAGAAGCATGCAGTTTTCCGTGGGGTTTCAAGAAAAGATGCTTTAAAGATGAAAGACTCAGTTGCCAACCACCTTTTGTCCTTTGGTCCTCCTCTTCCTTTTTCCTGAATTGCAGAAGGAATAGGTGAGGTAACACTCTAGCTGCATCGTGTCAGTAAGAAGCAGTCCTGGGGGTAGCTGAGGAGAAAGACAAAGGAGCCTGGGCCCCAAACAGCATCATAATCTATCTGGACCACCTACCTACAGACATCTTTATACAGGAGAAAATAAACTGCCTAATTTGTGATCGCTGCCCAGAGTGATCTATAGATTCAATGCAATCACAGTTAAAAAGCCTAGAAGGCTTTTGCATAGAAATTGACAAACTGATTTAAATTTTATGTGGAAATAAATAGCCAAAACAATTTTGAGAAAGAATAAGTGGGAGGACTTCTACGACCTGACTTTAAAGACATTACTAAGCTTCAGTAGTGAAGTTAATATGACTGTGGCATAAATTTAGACAAATATATCAGTGGAACGGAAAAGAGAAACCAGAAAGGGTCAGTTGGTTTTTGACAAAGGTGCCAACGTATTGAAAAGGAAAAGGATGAGCTTTTTGATAAATGGTGTTAGAATAACTGGGAAAAACATGAAAAAATAAACCTTGCACTCTACCTAGTATTCTACAGAAAAATGAACCTAAACGCGACTGGTGAAATAAAAAATTCCAGGAGAAAATCTTCACAATTTAGAGGGGACCGATTTCAAACAGGATATAAAAATCACTAACTAAAAGAGGAAAAAAAAAAAGATAAATTGAACTTCATGAAAATTAAAAGCTGCTACTCATCAAAAGCCTCCATTAAGAATGTGAAAAAACAAGCTACCGGTTGGGATAATATATTCAAAATATACGTATCTGACAGAGGACTCTTACTCAGAATATATAAGGAACCACAAATCAGTAATAAAACAGACTTGGACAGATACTTCACAGAATATAGAAAAAGGCCAATAAGTATATAAAAAGGCTATCAACCTCACTTATCTTCAAAGAAATGTGAATCAAAACCACAGGAAGATACCACAAAATGACTGAAATGACAAAATACACACAATGGCTAACTGGCTAAAATTGAAAAAACTGACAATGTGAGCATTAAGGAGAAGATGACATAACTGGAACTTTCATGCTGTGGGTAGGAATGTACAATGGTACCACCACTTTGGAACTATTTGGCAATTTCTAGTAAGGTTAAATACATACCTTCCCTATGATTCAGCAGTTTTATTTTCAGATATATACTCAAGAGAAATGAACGTTCATTGCAGCTTGATGCATAACTGCACAAAACTGAACAAATTTCCATCCCCAGGAGAATGGATTATATGACATAGACAACGGAATACTACTCCTAGAAAAGAAATGGCCTATTGATACATGCAACGAACTAGATAAATCTCAGAAGCATTACGCTGAGCAAAATGAACCAGATACAACATACTGTGTAATAATTTATGTGAAGGCCAATGATAGACAAAAGTAGGCTGTAGTAAATCAGGATGCAGCTGCTCTGCGTAAGGGTGGGGGATTCAAATTACCTCGAAAAGGGGCACGGGGGTCTTTTCTGGGGTGGTCAAATGTTTTGTATCTTGATCTGGATCATGGTCTATACCGGCATACATTTGTCAACATTCCTCGAGCTGTATATATTTTAAGATTTGTGATTTTGCTATATGTAAAATATGCCTTAATAAAATACTGTTATAAAATAAGCTGCAAATTAAATGGAGTTCACTTCAAGTTTATGCTGTTCCATTAAATAATCATTAGTGCTGGTTAAATGTGACTTATGAACATTTTAAAATTTATTTTGTTTTCTACCTGAAAAAAGCTGGTGTAATATAAATGCTGATTTTTACAAAAAAGCACTATAACATATGAGGGGAGTGCTAGCTAGGCCTCTTAGTTAAATTCAGAAGTTATTTTAAAAATTGATTGTAGCAACTAGCTAATTTGATATAGTGACGATCTGCCAGTTTTGGATAGGAAAGCCATGCTTAAAATAATCCAAGACTATTTATTTATAAGTTACCTGAAATAATTTAATAAATGTATATAAAACTATCAGAACAACAAACAAAAAAACGATACATTTTAGAGTATCCAGATTTATAGAAGTGAATCGGTCCCTCTGAATTGCAGGTAAAAATATAAATTGTAACTGTACTGTGGCGGAAAATATTCTAGATCACAAGCACAACCATATAAAATATTGCATTTGAAGGGTGTGGTTTGTGAGCTTCTAAAACCTATTATGTATCTCTTTTTATCTGTTTAGATTTTGTTTTAATCATCTCATCTAGATAAGGAATGTGTTCCTTATTCCAATACTAAGCAAGCAAAATCATGTCATATAAACCAAAGAATTTTCAAAAATTTTTCTATTAATAAGATACAAACAGTGCACCCTATAGAAACTGTTTAGGGTGCTGTTTCAAACTTGTTTTTTTCAACTTCAGGATCACGAAAGAATAATCATTCCTTTAATATGTGCACAAATGCATTTCCTTGTTGCGTTTGAATGTTCACCAGTGTCATGCAGATTCTTCTCACCACCTAAATAGATTGCACAGAGCATGCATGCATTTATTCAGGTGCTTTTGAATGTTTCTGTCCCTCCCTCTCCCTGTCCCGCCCCAACAATGCCCGTACCAGTAAAGTATAAGTCACAGTCCACAGGAAAAAAAATATGTATACACACACACACACACACACACACACACACACACACACACACACTTTATTTTTAGCCCTAAGATACTTTTTTTGCTACAGAAAAATATAATATTTTCCCTCTTCTGCCTTTTTTTTTTTTTTAATGTTAGACTTTTGAGACAGAAGATGATGAATCTAATCTGATATTTACAAAGAAAAAGGGTAGCAGATGGATGAAGCAATTGTAGTAAGCCCTAAGCACTTCTACGCACACCTCAAAGCCCAAGGATCAGCTCCTCTTCCCCATTTAATTTTCCATCGTCTTTTACACATTGCTGTATTAGAGCCTTCGTCTCACAATGCATTAGAAAGCTCTTCCCACCCACCTCCAATCTTCTCAGCTAGCTTGTTACTCCGGCAACCAGTTACTCTCAGGGAACCGACAGCACCTTGAGTCCCTCAATTGTACATCTCTTACTTCCTGCCCCAGGGCTTCACTGATGCCTCAGCTGTGCGGACCACCTGCAGGAACCCACTTAGCCATTCTCACACATAAACTATGCTGATTATGCCCCACAGACAACTCCATCAGGGAGGACAGGAGTCGGTAGATAAATACTCCTCCCTCTCATTCCTCAGGATGACAATTCTGAGGTCCCTTCCACATAGCTCTTCAGAAGGACCCTAAAGGAATCATACCCCAGTTGCTAGTAGCAGTGGCCAACTAATAGCATGTCTTATTTTGCCTTTCCCTCATTCCTGTTTTGCTCTTCCTAGTTCCTCACTCCTGAGTAATTTGGAATTACTTAACCAAAGTCAGCCTACTGCAAGCCCTTGTCCCAGGTTGGCTTCATGGGGAACATGGGCTCAGTCAGTTGTTACCTGATTCTGTAAATAAAAACATGGAAGCAAAAAGATGTTCATAAGCCTTTCATGTTTATGTGGTGCATACACTCACAGGGACGATGAATGTTCAAGCTACTCCTTATTAATAAGCCACTTGCAAAGAGAGAACTTTCATCCCCAGGGCCCTCTTGGGTATTATTTATTACAGCAGTGTCATACATGAAAATTGTCACTGCAGCAGGTGTACTTTGGTGGTGGACTAGTGACTAGTCTGAATTCAATGTCTTAGTATTTATCACGAATAGGGAATGAATCGTAGGTAGTAGAATATTAGGAAGAAAACCCAGGCTGCATCTAAACTAAATTCTTTTTCTAACTTGATATTCGTGATCAGAAGACAACCTTCAGAAGATATGAAAACTTTGGCAACCAAACTTTACACCCTTGTAATAACTGTAATAGCCTTTTATCAATATTTATCAGAAATTGAAGTAATTTAGCAGTAAATATATAAATTATTATATAATCTACTTGCATAGAAAACCTAAAGGTTGTGAATGTCTGCTTCCCTGTCCTTAATATTGTATTGTTTGCAACAGTGACAATGCATCTTTTTCCTTTCTGAGAAGACATCTTCTTTCAAAAATAATGAACAGTTCATATCAATGACTTTTTGAACTTCAGGTTGAAAACCCACTAGGGAGTAGATTATGGAATCTATATAGTGGGTTATAATTCACAAATAATTAAATAGAATTTAAAATATCAGAGTGTATTACATTTATTAAGTATGTATGTTGTTTCAAGACTTTTGTTCTTATTTTAGACCGGGTCACAAAAGTTCGAAATCCATCAATTTAGAATGTTTACCGAGCATAAGCTTTAAAGACTTTGGTTGTTTATAATATTATCTTTTGGGTAACTAGCTGATGTCCAAAAGATTCTCGGTGGTTAGTGATTGGAGAAGATTTGGAGAGGAACCTAACACAAATGTTCAACTTAAAAACTGGAAAGAAATATGGCATTTTGCTTTAGTCTTCAATTTGATTTTCTTTATAAATTGAAAAAAACCCATATGATACATAAGACCTGAATATATAGAGTCTCAAATTTTAAATACATTCATTATAAGTGTTCCTCTTTCACAGTATGGAGCTCCTTTTCTAATCTATCAATTAGAATGCTTTGAGTTACAAGTGAAAGTAAGCTCAACTCAGTAAAAGGAGACATGGGGCACTTCCGGCAGTGTGATGCAAACGTCGACGATCTCACTGTGTCATCAGGTTTCTGGCTCCATTTGTATGTGACTTTCTTGCTCTGCCATCTTCTAGGTCATCTTCATCCTAAGACAGCTTTACTTTTTTGTATATAAAATGACCGTGAGTGTTATAGGTCTCACAGTGATACATCACAAAATCCAGCACAAAAGAAAATATGCAATGATTTAGGATACTATTGTAGATGTTGTCCTCATATTTAGAAAATTATGTATTTTTTTGCCATCTGGATTTTGATAATTGTATCCCCATGCTTTCTACTGTCTCCTGTGTTTTCTGTGAATAGCATCTAGCAGCTTGATAGCATTCAGATTCAATTTTTAGTAAGAATATTTTATAGATGGTATTGTGTTCTGCTATCTGGAGATGCATAATGTCTGGTTGTCTACATTTTTGCAATGTTAGAAGCCATTGAAGAGCATTGCCTAAATCCACGAATCCCATAGGGCTCGCAGTATGTCGATGATCCAATTTTGTCCTTAGCTGGAATACTTGTATTTAAAAATTATCCCAATTTAACTATTTGGATATCAAGAAGCACATTTTTTACAGGATAAATGCTGATTTACTTTTATTTTATTTTTTTTACTTAGTGGTTTTCTGAGTAATTGGTTCTCTAGAAATCTCCAAAGATGACCAATGAGATTTTTAATAGTATCTTTATAAACTCATGGATTTAAAAATATTTTATGTGTATCAATCCATTTCAGTCTTCTCATTGACAATCAAGGTGTTTCAACTTTGGCCAGTGGGCATCTCTTTAAGTTGACTCCTAAGGTTTTTGACATGATTTTAGTAGTCCTTATTAGCTTATTTGCTTTGTAATAAGACAATGTGTTCTGAGCTCATCTTGAATAATGCCTGCTGTAGACATAGCGCTAGCCATTTTTCTAGTAAGTCTTGCTTTCTCTTAATGGCAAATGATATTTAGAGACCACAATTGAACACTAGGAATGCCCATTGCTACGGGGCTGGGTATTTTTTTAGTCCTTTTAAAAAGAAAATACATTATGATTTCATATTGATACGTCCTAGTTGTTCTTATAAATCTTATTCTGTTTCACTTCTCACATGGCCCAAATTAATTTTCATAGATTTAACATAATTTCTCATTTGCTTTTTCACATAATACACACAACAGGCACTGAATAAAACAGTACCATCAACAGCAGTGTAATTATGAAAAAGAGTTTAAAGAGCATATCATTTTTTTTTAATGTGTGTGATTCTTTTTGACCTTAGAGTATATACTACCAAGGCTACACAGCAAAATTCCTGTGTTTAAAGTTACTTGAAAGTGGTTTCTGTCTGTGTACTGTGTCACCAGACTCAATACACAAAAAGGTCCATTTGTTTCATTCCCATTTCACTTTTTGTGGATTTTTAATAATTTTTTTTAAAAAATTAAAATATTGATGAGGTTCCAAATTCAAATCTACAAATCAAGATATACTTGGAAAAGGCTGGCCTCTGTTCTTTTTCCCTCTAACCCATTATCTCCTTCTGCCAATAGATAATCATTAACAAAATTTATAGTTCATGCTTCCATTTTTTTAATAAAAGCAAATATGTATAAATAGTCATATGCCCTTCCACCTTGGATATACATGTTACCATAATAGAGCTAATAGAAAGGATTGCACTGTCAAATTAGACTTCCATGAATAAGGGGTCTTATTTAGATTTACTAATACTTTTAAGGATACAAACAACCAAAAGTCTCAGGCAAATCAGAGAAAAATCTAATCTATCCTGTGTGGCTGACTTAATCCTTCCTTCTGCATTGGACACCTTCTCTGGCCTAGACTAATGAATGAGGTCTTTAAATGAAGTTTTTGGATACCTCACATAGCGAGAAGGGGTGTTGTTTAAGTTATGAAATCTCCATTTTATATTTAGATTGATAACAGGCATAAGTCACATTTCCTGGGAAGCATGTCTTATAAA